CGCCTTCAGGAGCCACCCAGGCCCCAGCACAAACGAGCACTCCCCACCAGCACTCCCCACCACCACTCAGCGGCACAAAACAGCCATAGGCCAAGTTGACTGTATGAGGTCTATCTTTTTTCTTTTAATATTTTTCCGTCTTGTTTTGATAGAAAACGCATACAAAGGGTAACAAAATGCAAATAGTACAAAAGGAAAAGGAAGTCTCCTTCCAACGGCGCGGTTTCCCTCCCCAGGGCAGTTTCCTGTGTTCCCTTGCAGAGATACTTTGTATGTTTACAAGCGTGTGTGTTTATTCGTCTCAGGTGGAGATTAGGGAAATGTAGATGGGGGTCTTCCCAACTGCCCCAGGCTGGGTTCCAGGGTGAAATTCGTGGGAAGGGATCTGAGTAGGAAGGAGGCCATGGGCTCCGACCGTCAGCTTCAAGCCACCCTGGACGAGTCCTTTCGGCCGGCTCTGGGCTCCCTCCCCTCCTCTCGGGGATTTCCGTCTGTGATAGCGCACCTCCCCGCTTGAGGCTTTTCAAAGACCCCTTCAAGGCCATCGGTTAGCGCCGAAAGAGAAGCGTCTACGACACCACCACCCAAACCAAGGATAGGTACCCGGCAGCCCAACGGGGTTCCCCAAGTACTAGACACGGCTTTAACGCCTTCCCCGCCGCCAGCAGTCCGGTGCGTCGTACTGAGACGGCCGACACTCCGGGTCCGCCTCCCTGCTCGGGCCTGTAACTGGAAGACGCAGCAGCATTAGCTCCCCCTCGCCCCTACACTGGCCAGGGCTGTCCTCGGGTCCCGCAGTGGGTGTGTCCGGGTGGCGGAGAAAGGGTTAAATCGGAGCTAGCCTGGTCTGGCGGCGGGGAGTCACCTGTAGCCACGGTTGGTAGCCCGCGGAGGGATGCGGTAGACGTGGACGTCAGGCTTGACACACAGCACGGACTCGTAGCCGCTCTCCTCCATCGCGACGCCTGGAGCCCACCGGACTTCCGGCTCCTTTCACCGTTCCTCCGTTCTACGGCCGGAAGCGGTGCGACTCTGTGACCAGGTTGGCTAGAGCGGCAGCTAGTGGGGCCGTGGGGGAGGGGGGGGGGCTTCAGCACCGCCTCCTTTGTGCGCCCTCTGCTGGAGGCCCGGCTCAAGACACGCGGCGGGCCACCTCTGGAGGCTTCCGTCTCCCTCCAGACACCCTCTGACGCAGAGAAAGCGCCCGGGACCCCGCCATAAACGGACCCTCCATAACCCGTGGTCTGCGTGTGGCTCGTCCGCATCGCTTCAGTTCTTAGGCCTGGGACCCAGTTGGCCTAGAGGCAAAACTGTAGCCCACCCTGCAGTGTCTCTGTCCGCGAGCCTTTGCCTCCACTGCGCCCTGGCCTGAATGTGCTCCTGACTGTTAAGGTTCAGCTGTCACCTGATCCACCATATTAAGCGCCCTTACCCTACCGCCCTCCACGCGTCACCTACGGGAACCCACGTGTGTGCTCAGGGCCCCGTGTGGCCACACCTCAACGACGAGTTGTAGTCAAACAAGTAAAGTTTAGTAACGCAAGTAATTCAAGAAGAATCCAGGCCTGGCGCGGTGGCTCACGCCTGTCATCCCAGCACCTTGAGAAGCCGAGGTCGGTGGATCACTTGAGGTCAGGAGTTCGAGGCCAGCCTGGCCAACATGGCGAAACCCCGTCTCTACTAAAAATACAAAAATTAGTCCGGTTTGGTGGCTTATGCCTGTAGTCCCAACTACTCCAGAGGCTGAGGCACTAGAATCGCTTGAACCCGGGATGCAGAGGTTGTGGTGAGCTGAAATTGTGTCACTGCACCTCAGCCTAGGTGACAGAGCAGGATTCTGCTTCAAAAAAACAAAAAGAAAAAAGAAGAATTCCAGTCTTTTTGTCGGAGCCTCCCTCTGTCGCCCAGGCTGGAGGGCAGTGGTGTGATCTTGGCTCATTGCAACCTCTGCCTGCTGAGTTCCAGCAATGCTCCTGCCTCAGCCTCCTGAGTAGCTGGAACTAAAGGCATGTGTCACTGTGCCTGGCTAATTTTTTATTTTTATTTTTTAGTAGAGACGGGGTTTCATCATATTGGCCAGGCTGGTCTCGAACTCCTGACCTCATGACCCACCCACCTCAGCCTCCCAAAGTTCTGGGATTACAGGCATGAGCCACTGCACCTGGCTAAGAATTCTAGTCTTGACTTCGATTTCTCCCAGAATATTCTGGGAGATATAATGTCTACCGTAGCCAAATTCTCAGAATCCCTCCTTCCCTACCATTCTCTCATTCATTATGTGAGTTGGGTGCCTACAATGTGCCAGGCTCTGTGTGGGGCACGGCTGATCCCAAATCTCTGACTCACTGAAGACCCCAAGCTTTCCGCACCTCTTCTTTCCTTTTCTCTCTCACTCTATCCCCTTCTACTTTTTCCCCTTTCATTTTTTTCCAGATGAAGTCTCACTGTGTTGCCCAGGCTGGAGTGCAGTGGCGTGATCTCAGCTCACTGCAACCTCTGCCTCCCCGGTTCAAGCGATTCTCCTACCTCAGCCTCCCAAGTAGCTGGGATTACAGGCGCCCGCCACCACACCCAGCTAATTTTTGTATTTTTTTTGGTAGAGACAGGGATTTCACCAGGTTAGCCAGGCTGTTCTCAAACTCCTGACCTCAAATGATCCGCCCGCTTTGGCCTCCCAAAGTACTGGAATTACAGGCGTGAGCCACTGTGCCCAGCCATTTCTACTCATTTCTATTAACTTTTTATTATAGGATTGATCTAACCGCTTACATTTTTATTGTAAAATAGACATAACATAAAATTTACCATTTTAAGAGTGCAATGCTGTGAAATTAAGTACATTCGCAATATTGTGCAACCATACCATGCTTTCCAGAACTTTTCATCATCCCAAACAGAAACGCCACCCCTATTAAGCAACAACTCCCCATTCCCTCCTGCCCCGTCCCTTGGTAACCTCTGTTCTGCTTTCTGTCTCTATGAATTTGCCCATTTAGATACCTCTTACAAGTGGAATCATGCAATATTAGGCTTTTGCGTCTCTTATTTCACTTAGGATCAAGTTTTCAAGGTTCATTCATGTTGTAGCATGGATTAGAATTTCATTCCTTTTCATGGGTGAAGAATATCCCATTGCATGTATGTATCATATTTTGTTCAGTCACCTGTCAACAATTGGGTTGTTGTCCCCTTTTGGTAGTGGGAATCAGGCTGCTGTGAGCCTTGGTGTTCAAACACTTGTTTTCCATTTCCTTGAGCGTATACGTATACGTGAAACTGCTGAGTTACACGATTATGCTGCGTTTAGTGGTTTGGTTTCATTTTGTTTGAAACAGCATCTCTGTTGCCCAGGCTGGAATGCATTGGCATGATCATGGCTCACTGCAGCCTCTACCTCCCAGGCCCAAGTGATCCTCGCAACTCAGTCTCCCAAGCAGCTGGGACTACAGGTGTGAACCTCCATGTCCAGCCTTGTTCGACTTTTTGAGGAACCTCCGAACTGCCTTCCACAGCAGCAGTATCCTTTTACATCCACAGAGGTTTCAATTTCTTCACATTTTTGTGAATATTGATCATTTTCCTTTTTTTTTTTTTTTTTTTTTTTCCTGTTAAAGACAGAGTCTCTGTCTCCCTACACTGGAGTGCAATGGTGCAATCATTGCTCACTGCAGCCTCAAACTCCTGTGCTCAAGGAATCCTCCTGCCTCAACCTTTTGAGTAGCTGGGCCTACAGGCACACACCACCCTACCCTGCTAATTTTCTTAATTTTTATAGAGACGGGGGTCTTTCTATGTTGCCCAGGCTGGTCTTGAATTCCTGTCTTCGAGATCCTGCTGCCTCAGCTTCCAAAGTGCTAGGATTACAGGCATGGGCCACCACACCTGGCCGCCTTTTTTTTTTTTTTTTTTTTTTTTTTTTGAGACTTAAGTCTCATTTTGCCGCCCAGGCTGGAGTGCAGTGGTGCAATCTCGGTTCACTGCAACCTCTGCCTCCCGGGCTCAAGCGATTCTCCTGCCTCAGCCTCCCAAGTAGCTGGGACTACTGGCACGTGCCACCACACACAGCTAATTTTTGTATTTTGGTAGAGACAGAGTTTCACCATGTTGGCCAGGACGGTCTTGATCTCCTGACCTCATGATCCACCCCTCTCGGCCTCCCAAAGTGTTGGGATTACAGGCGTGAGCCACGTGCTCTGCCTTTTTTTTTTTTTTTTAAGTTGTAGCTTCACTCTCATTGCCTAGGGTGGAGGCAATGGCACCATCTCAGCTTACTGCAACCTCTGCCTTCAGGTGTCAAGTGATTCTCCTGCCTCAGCCTTCTGAGTAGCTGGGATTACAGGTGCCCACTACCATGCCTGACTACCTTTTTTGTTTTGAGATGGAGTCTCACTCAGCTGCTCAGGCTGAAGTGCAGTGGCACAATCTCAGCTCACTGCAAACTCTGCCTCCTGGGTTCAAGGGATTCTCCTGCCTCAGCCTCCTGAGTAGCTGGAATTACAGGCATGAGCCACCGTGCCTAGCTAATTTTTTATTTTTAATAGTGACAGGGTTTCATCATCTTGGTCAGGCTGGTCTTGAACTCCTGACCTCAGAAGATCCACCAGCTTCAACCTCCCAAAGTGCTGGGATTACAGGTGTGAGCCACTAACCCTCGCCATTCAGAGCACTTTCCCTTCTGTTCGGTCTAACAAAGACAGGCATCGAGCACATACCCTATGCCGGGTGCTGAGTGCTGGGGTCACTGCGATGTGGCCAATCCAGCTCCTATCATTCTAGAGCTCACAGACTGGAGGAGACAGAGGGAAAAGCAGTCACTGGCAATGCAGAATGAAAGCCACCATAATGAAGCAAATTCACAGGAAGCTGTGGGAGCAAGGAGAAGAAACCCACACACTCTGGGGACAGTCAGGGAGGGATCTCTGGGAGAGAGTACCCTGGCACAATAACCGCTGTGAGGTTGGCAAGGCAACGATTGTTATCCTCATTGTCTGATGGGGGCCACTGAACCAGTGACAAGCTGGGGGAAATGACATTGCCGGGCAGTTGGAAGTCAGACAGCCCTTTGCCTTACTCTCAAACTCTAACCACATGGCTGGACACTCCTGAAATGCGTTCCTAAACGTCTGCTGCTGAGAATAATTGGACCTACCGTCCATTCCCGGTGTAACTACCTGTATACCTAACAAACCCAATTCAAGCCAACAGGCAAAGTATAGGCTCAGACGGAATCCATCCTGTGTGTGAGGTGGTGCGCAAGGGTGGAAAACCTCACCGTGACTCATCCAGCTGATTTCTGGTAGGTCCAGGGCCAAGGTGGGGATGTGATGTGAGCCAGCTTTCCTGGACAGCCTCCAGACATATATATGATAGGTCACTTATCTTTCTCTGCCGTATTCTCCTGCCATCATAGATATTTCCAAGAGAAATTCTTCCGCTTTTCAGATGAGGAAACCGCTTATAAAAGGGGCACTCAATACCCAAAGAATCTTGAAAAAGAACAAAGTTGGAGGACTCACGCTTCCTGATTTCAAAAGTTTTTATTAATTTTTCCGTAGGTTGTTGGGGTATAAGTGTTATTTGGTTACATGAATAAGTTTTTAGTAAGTTGTTGTGATTTTTTTGTTTGTTTGTTACAGGAGTAAGTTTTGGTTATTTTGGTTACATGAGTAAGTTTTTTGCTTTTGTTTTTGTTTGATACGGAGTCTCGCTCGGTTGTCCAGGCTGGAGTGCAGTGGCACGATCTCGGCTCACCCCAACCTCCGCCTCCTGGGTTCAAGTGATTCTCCTGCCTCAGCCTTCCAAGTAGCTGGGATTATAGGCATGCACTATCACACCTAGCTAATTTTTGTATTCTTAGTAGAAATGGGGTTTCATCATGTTAGCCAGGCTGGTCTCAAACTCCTGACCTCAAATGATCTGCCTGCCTTGGCCTCCCAAAGTGCTGGGATTACAGGCATGAGCCACCTTGCCTGGCATGAGTAAGTTCTTTAGCGGTGATTTGTAAGATTTTGGTGCACCCTTAACCAAGCACTATACACTACACCCTCTTTGTAGTCTTTTTCTTTTTCTTTCTCTGAGACAGAGTCTCGCCCTGTCGCCCAGGCTGGAGTGCAATGGTACTTTAGTAGAGACAGGGTTTCACCATGTTGGCCAGGCTGGTCTCGAACCCCTGACCTTGTGATCCACCTGCCTTGGCTTCCCAAAGTTCTGGGATTACAGGTATGAGCCACCATGCCCAGTCATATTTGTAGTTTTTATCCCTCACCCGGCCCCGAACCTGACTTTTTTTTTTTTTTTTTTTTTTTTGACATAGAGTCTTTCTCTGTCACCCAGGCTGGAGTGCAGTGATGCAATCTCAGCTCACTGCAACCTCCACTTCCCAGATTCAAGCAGTTCTTCTGCCTCAGCCTCCTGAGCAGCTGGGATTGCAGGCATGTGCCACCACACCTGGCTAATTTTTTGTGTCCTCAGTAGAGACAGGGTTTCAACATGTTGTCCAGGCTGGTCTTGAACTCCTGAGCTCAGGCAATCTGCCCACCTCAGCCTCCCAAAGTGCAGGGATTACAGGCGTGAGCTACCACGCCTGGCTGATAAATGAGACTTTCACAAAAATTTAAAACGTTTGTGCTTCAAAAGACAAAAAAGTGGGCCGGGCGCGGTGGCTCAAGCCTGTAATCCCAGCACTTTGTGAGGCCGAGGCGGGTGGATCACGAGGTCAAGAGATCAAGACCATCCTGGTCAGCAAGGTGAAACCTCGTCTCTACTAAAAATACAAAAAAGTTAGCTGGGCATGGTGGTGCGTGCCTGTAATCCCAGCTACTCAGGAGGCTGAGACAGGAGAATTGCCTGAACCCAGGAGGCGGAGGTTGCAGTGAGCCGAGATCGCACCATTGCACTCCAGCCTGGGTAACGAGCGAAACTCCGCCTCAAAAAAAAAAAAAAAAAAAAAAAGACAAAAAAGTGAAAATATAATCCACACATGGGAGAAAAAGTTTGTAAATCATATATATAAGGAATATGTATCTAGAATTTATAAAGAACATTTACCATGCAATAATAAAAAGACAACCCAATATAAATGGACAAAGGCAGTCTGGGTGCTGTGACTCATGCCTGTAATCCCAGCACTTTGAGAGACTGAGGTGGAAGGATTGTCGGAGCCCATGTTCATGCTACTGAAGTCCAGCCTGTGGATAGAGTAAGATTCTGCCTGGAAAAATAAAAATAAAAAAAAAGATCCAGGCATGGTGGCTCACACCTGGAATCCCAGCACTTTAGGAGGCTGAGGTGGGCAGATCACCTGAGATCAGGAGTTCAAGACCAGCCTAGCCAACATGGCAAAACCATGTCTCTACGGTTTTGTATCTACAAATACAAACATTAGCTAGGCATGGTGCATATGCCTGTAATCCCAGCTACTAGGGAGTCTGAGGCAGGAGAATCGCTTAAGCACAGAAGGCTGAGGTTGCAGTGAGCTGGAACTGGGCCACTGCATTCCAACCTGGGCAACAGAGCAAGACTCTGTCTAAAAAAAAATGGACAACGGCTCTGAATAGACGTTTTTCCAAGAAGATAAGCACATGGAGCTGTTCAGCATTATCAGCCATTAGGGAAATGCTAATCAAAACCAGAATAAGATAGCACTTTACACTCACACCCACTAGGATGGCTATAATTTAAAAAGATAAGTAAGGCCAGGTACAGTGGCTCGCATCTGTAATCCCAACACACTAGAAGGCTAAGGCAGGAGGATCCCTTGAGCCCAGGAGTTCAAGATCAGTCTACAAATATTTTGTAGACTCCCATCTACAAAATATTTTAAAATTAGCCAGGTGTGGTGGTGTGCACCTGTAGTCCCAGCTACTCAGGTGGCTAAGGTAAGAGGATCCTTTGAACCCCAGAGGCAGAGGTTGCAGTGAGCTATGATCATACCACTGAAGTCCATCCTGGGAGATAGAGCAAGACTCTGTCACAAAACAAAAAGATGATAACAAGTGTTGGAGAGGATGTAGAAAAATTGGAACACATGTATACGGCTGGTAAGAAGGTAAGGTGATACAGCCACTTTGGGAAAGTCTGGCAATTACTCAAAAGCTAAAAACAGAATTGTCATATGGCTCAGCAATTCCACTTCTAGATACATATCCAAGAGAAATGCAAATGTTATGTTCATATAAGGACCTGGACATGAGACCAGGCACGGTGGTTCATGCCTGTAATCCCAGCACTTTGGGAGGTCAAGGCGGGTGGATCACCTGAGGTCAGGAATTCAAGCCCAGCCTGGCCAACATGGTGAAACCCCATCTCTACTAAAAATACAAACAAACAAAAAAAATTAGCTAAGCATGGTGGAGGGGGGGTGCCTGTAATCCCAGCTACGCGGGAGGCTGAAGCAGGAGAATTGCTTGAACAACAAGAAAAAAAACTTGTAGATAAATGTTCATAGCAACATTATTCATAATAGCTAAAATGTGGAAACAGGCCAGGCATGGTGGCTCACGCCTTTAATCCCAGCAGTTTGGGAGGCCAAGGCGGGAGGATTGCTTGAGCTCAGGAGTTTGAGCAGCCTGGGCAAACCTAATGAGAACTTGTCTCTACTTAAATTTTTTTCTTTCTCTTTTTCTTTTCTTTTTTTTTTTTTTGAGACGGAGTTTCGCTCTTGTTACCCAGGCTGGAGTGCAATGGCGCGATCTCGGCTCACTGCAACCTCCGCCTCCTGGGTTCAGGCAATTCTCCTGCCTCAGCCTCCTGAGTAGCTGAGATTACAGGCACGTGCCACCATGCCCAGCTAATTTTTTGTATTTTTAGTAGAGACGGGGTTTCACCATGTTGACCAGGATGGTCTCGATCTCTCGACCTCATGATCCACCCGCCTCGGCCTCCCAAAGTGCTGGGATTACAGGCTTGAGCCACCGCTCCCGGCCTTTCTTTTCTTTTTTTAGACAGAGTCTTGCTCTTGCCCAGGCTGGAGGTGATGGTGTGATCTCAGCTCACTGCAACCTCCACCTCCTGGATTCAGGCTATTATCCTGCCTCAGCCTCCTGAGTAGCTGGGATTACAGGTCCATGACCACCACGCTTGGCTAATTTTTATATTTTTAATAGAGATGGGGTTTTGCCATGTTGGCCAGGCTGGTCTTACACTCCTGACCTCAGGTGATCTGCCCACATTGGCCTCCCAAAGTGCTGGGATTGCAGGTGTGAGCCACCATGCCTGGCCATTAAAATTTATTTAATTTAAAAAATTTTACAAATTCTAAGACAACCCAGGCATGCTGGCACGCATCTGTAGTCCCAACCAGCCACTCAGAGGCTGAGATGAGAGGATCGCTTGAGACCCGAAGTTTGAGGCTGTAGGAAGCCATGATCACACTGCTGCGCTCCAGCCTGAGTGACAGAGCAAAACCCTGTCTCAAAAAAAAAAAAAAGCCAGGCATGGTGGTTCACACCTGTAATGCCAGCACTTTGGGAGGCCAAGGCGGGTGGATCTCGAGGTCAAGAGATCGAGACCGGGCCGGGTGCAGTGGCTCAAGCCTGTAATCCCAGCACTTTGGGAGGCCGAGGCAGGCGGATCACAAAGTTAAGAGATCGAGACCATCCTGGTCAACATGGTGAAACCCCGTCTCTACTAAAATAAATACAAAAAATTAGCCAGGCATGGTGGCGCATGCTTGTAATCCCAGCTACTTGGGAGGCTGAGACAGGAGAATCACTTGAACCCAAGAGGCGGAAGTTGCGGTTAGCTGAGAATGTGCCATTACACTCTAGCCTGGGTAACAAGAGTGAAACTCTGTCTCAAAAAAAAAAAAACAAAAAAAAACAAAAAAAAAAACAAATTTTCTATCTACTGATGAATGGATAAACCAAATGGGGTATATCCATACGGTGGAATATTACTTAGCCATAAAAAGGAATGATACTCTGATACGTGCTACAACATGGACAAACCTTGAAAGCATGATGTTAAATCGAAGCTAGTCACCAAGGACCACATGCCGTATGATTCCATTTATACAGAATGTCCAGAATAGACAAATCTACTAAGACAGAAAGCAGATTAGTGGTTACCTGGGGCTGGGTTTGGGGTGGGAAGATTGGGGATGATGGCCAAGGGGTGTGGAGTTTCTTTTTCAGGGTGATAAAAATGTTCTAGAATTAGGGTGATGGTTGCACAACTCTGACTATCCTAAAAGCCATTGAATTGTACACTTTAAATGGGTGAATTGTCTGGTATGTGAGTTAGATTTCAATGAGTTGTTAACTAAAAAGGGTCCCAAGTGGTCTGAAAGGGGGACGCAGTCGATATTTGTCAACTCTCCCAGGTCTACCCTTGGAGTGCAAGCGCCTCTGCTAGGGTTGAAGGTTCCCTTTCCTGTGCAGATTCTCACAGTTGGCAAGCTCCAGATGTGGATAGATGGGGGCTGCAGCCCCCTGGAACTTTGGCCCCCTTAAAACTTCAGCTTGTGGAATACTGGGGCCTGGGAATTCCAAGGCTGACCCTGCACATTCTGAGGCGAAGACAGTGGACAATAGGGGGTGTGTTTGAGGGCTGTGGGGGGAGATTTTCCCCACGTGCTGCATCCACCCCTGAGACAGGAAGACTCAGAGGAAGCGGGAATGGTTAGGGGAACCCTAATGGGGAAGAGGTTGGGGAGGAGCCGGGAACTCCAAGGAAAGAGAGAAGGACTTGACCACAGGCCTGACTTTTCTGCTCCAAGTGAGAGTCTGGTCCTTTGTGAAGCCAGAGCTGCGCCTGGGGTGGGAGGTCACCCCACCACACCAGCCAAGGTCTGCTTTGCATGTTGGGGTGCAACTTTCACTACAGGAAAGACCTGGAGGGTAGGAAGGCGAAGTGGAGACTTGGGTCAGCAGCTCTGCAGGGCACCTCCTCTGTGTCCCTGGTAAACGGTGGGAACCGTCAGGACACCCAGTGTATCCCCAAGGCCTGATGTTGTCCCTAGCACGAGCACGTGTCATTAAACAGCTGTTGATTGCATGGGGAAATGAATGGCTAACTTAAGCTTCTTTGTAGGCAAAATGACATGGTGAGATGAGCCACTGTGGAAGTCAGACAGGCCCAGTTTGCCTCCCGTTCCTCTGCAGAATGGCTTTGTAGTATCGGACAAGACATTGCTCTGAGCCTTAATTTCCCTATCTTTAAAACAGGGCTGAACCCACTGACTTCACAGGGCTGTTAGGAGAATACTGTTCACAAAGGTTTCCAGCACATAGAAGGTTCCTCCATGGATGCTGGCTGGCCTGTCATGATTTAAAGTGGAAGAAGCACCATCAAGATCCTCAAGGTCATACGGTCTTACTATGGGAGGAAGGGACGTCGGGGTTAGGATTTACTCCTGGGAACTAGTTAACAGTGGAAGAGGGTCCATGATGTATCCATAGAAATGGCGCTGATGTTGCCTCAAAGGAATTCAGTGTCTGGAAGGAGGGCTGAGAGGGTTAGAAACTCGGAGAAGAGAGGGGAGCTTGAGGGATGTGTTGGGCTATTGGAAAGATAGAAAAGTGGGATGTGGGCATAGAGGCTGGGGTCTGTGAGACCAGGAGCGCAGGAGCCTGCCTGGATTAGAAGAGAAAGTTTGTGTAGGGGGTGGTGGCACAGCTGAATACGAGGCTGGATGAAAGAGGTGGAGGAGAGACCGTAAGAAACGCTTTAGTAATGGCCGGGCACGGTGGCTCATGCTGGGAATTCCAGCAGTTTGGGAGGACAAGGTGGGCGGATCACTTGAGGTCTGTACTAAAAATACAAATCTAGCCGGGTGTGGTGGTGAGCACCTATAATCTCAACTACTATGGAGGCTGAGGCAGGAGAATGGCTTGAACCCAGGAGGCAGAGGTTGCAGTGAGCCAAGATTGCACCACTGCACTCCAGCCTGGGCAACAGAGCGAGACTGTCTCAAAACAAAAAAAAAAGAAAGAAAGAAAAAAGAGGCCGGGTGCAGTGGCTCACACCTATAATCCCAGCACTTTGGGAGGCTGAGGCAGGCGGATCATGAGGTCAGGAGTTTGAGACCAGCCTGGCCAACATGGTGAAACCCCATCGCTACTAAAAATACAAATATTAGCAGGGCATGGCGGCACGTGCCTGTAATCCCAGCTACTCAGGAGACTGAGGCAGGAGAATTGCTTGAACCTTAGAGGCAGAAGTTGCAGTGAGCCGAGATCATGCCACTGCAGTCCAGCCTGGGGGATAGAGCAAGACCCTATCTCAAAAAAAAAAAAAAAAAAAGACAAAGACAAAGAAAGAGAAAGGATGTGTCCAGGGCAGGGTGTGGGTGCTCTGGTGAACTGCAGATTGCCGCTGGAGACGTTGGGGCCCTAAGACAGATGGACAGATGTTCCTAATTCCTGTTCCTTAGCCCTGTTCTAAGAACATGGAGTTTTCCTCTACAGCAGCAGCAGCAGCTGTGACATTTTTGCACCCCCTTAAAAGGCACATTAGTATTTTAAAAGCTCTGAGGAGTAGTGCAAGAAAGAGCCGGTAGCACTTTGCTTCTCCCAGAACTTTCCAAATGCACTTAGCCTCGGAACCCCATGGGGCATCTCAAGGGGCCAGTATGCCAAAGAACACCCTTTAGCAAATGTTGAAGTAGGGGAAAGTGCCTAGGTTTTGGGATTCAACAGGCCAGGGTTCAAGTCCCTGTCTGTGACCTAGTAGGTGCTGGGCAAGTCTCTGTGCCTTCCAGAGCCCCTTTTCCTCAGGGTCATTGTGAGAATTAGGAAAAGCATGTGGGTAAATGGCATGTGGCCAGCTCTCTGGTTTTGCTGCACGCTTCTCCATGCCAGGCCTGGCCCCGCCTCTTCCCTCGAGCCAGGCTTTCTGCGTTATAGGCTCCACGTGTGCTCCTGAAGCAGCAGCTAGGTGATGGGCGTGGTGGGATGCTTGATTGGATTTCTCCTGTAGGAGCACGGTAGCTGATGCCCCTCACTTGGCACCCGTGTTGGCCCTGGCATCGTGGACAACAGAACAACTCAGATGTACACAGAAGGTAGAACCAAGGCTCCAGGGACCCAGCCAAGTCCTGGCCTGAGAATCACCATAAAGAGGGCTGGTGTTGAGCCCACCATACAAGGAGTCAGCCAGGTAGGGACCTGTACCCCATGTTCTGATCCATCCACTCCTAGCTGGCACCTTTCCCTTCCCCTGCCCAGGCTTCCTCCCTAACTGCTTTAATTAAGACGCTGTTAAAATGGACAGAAAACCCAATTCAAACTGGATTAAGCAGAAAAGAGAATACATCGGTTTGGGTAACTGACAAATCCATTCATAGGCTTCAGGTATGACTGGATCAGGGTGCTAAATGAACATCTCTTGGCTCTACATTCTTCTGTGTTAGATTCATTCTCAGGCAAGCTCTCCCTGCAAGATAGCAGGGATTGCCCTGCCCACTCCAGAATTACATCTTCCCATCTTACATGCTCTGGTTTAGCATTCCAACAGGAAGTGAGCCCCTTTGCAATAGCTGGAGCAAGTCTCTAGCATCACTGTCATTGGTCCAGATTGTGGTCAGACGCTCATCCTTGAACCGGTCACCATGGCAGTGGGGAGTGGCTTGGATCTCTTGATACAATGGAGACGGGTGATAGTTGGCTCCACTGAGCTCCATGGGCTGAATGGAGAAGAGAAGTTTCCCAAAAACAATGCTGGCTTCTGTAACGGAGAGAGCTGCAGGGCGAGCACGCTCAGAATTGCCGACTGGCTCTCCTGGGTGCCTTCCGTGGCCTCCGAGCTCCCCATACAGCCTCCAGCCCAGCCTTATTCTCCTAACAGCGACTCAGGGCTTCCCTCCATGCCCCTCCCCAGTGCCCAGCCTGCATTCTAAGTATCCATCAAACCTCCCAGCCTCTTTCCATCACATACGTTTCTTAGTTTTGGTTTTGTTTTTGTTTTGAGACAGGCTCTCACTCCCTCACCCAGTCTGGAGTGCAGTGGCGCAATCATGACACACTGCAGCCTCGAACTCCCAGGGACAAGTGATCCGCCTGCCTCAGCATCCTGACTGGCTGGAACTATAGGCATGGCATGTACCACCACACCCAGATCATTTTTTTTATTTTTATTTTTAGTAGAGACAAGGCTTTATCATGTTGCCCAGGCTGGTCTTGAACTCCTGGGCTCAAGTGATCTGCCTGCTTCAGACTCCCAAAGTGTTGGAATTATAGGCATAAGCCTCCACATCCGGCCTCTTTTTTTTTTTCTTTTTGAGACAGAGTCTTGCTCTGTCACCAGGCTAGAGTGCAATGGTATGATCGTGGCTCACTGCAACTTCCATCTCCCAGGTTCAAGCAATCTCCGTCTAATTGTTTTGTATTTTTAGAAGAGATGGATTTTACCATGTTGGATAGGCTGGTCTTGAACTCCTGACCACAAGTGATCCTCCCACCTCGGCCTCCCAGAGTGCTAGGATTACAGGCTTGAGCCACTGCACCCAGCTGGCCTCTTTTTGAATGTGCCAAGTAGCATGAACTGAAGAGCATAAAAAGACCTCCTCCCCATCCAGTTTCCTCAGAACCAAAGATATCACCATTTAAAAAGTCAGCCGGCTGGGCGTGTTGGCTCACGCCTGTCATCCCAACACTCCGGGAGGCCAAGGCGAGCGGATCACCTGAGGCTGGAGTTCGAGACCAGCCTGACCCAACATGGAGAAAACCCCATCTCTACTAAAAATACAAAATTAGGTTGGGTGTTGTGGTTCATGCCTGTAATCCCAGCACTTTGGGAGGCTGAGATGGACAGATTACCTGAAGTCGGGAATTTGAGACCAGCCTGACCAACATGGGGAAACCCTGTTTCTACTAAAAATAAAAAAATTAGCTGGGCATGGTGGCGCATGCCTCTAATCCCGGCTACTTGGGAGGCTGAGACAGGAGAATCACTTGAACCTGGGAGGCGGAGGTTGTGGTGAGCCAGGATCCCACCATTACACTCTAGCCTGGGCAACAAGAGCGAAACTCCACCTCAAAAATAAATACATAAACAAATTAAAAAAAAAAAAAGTCAGCCAGGCACCATGGCTCATGCCTGTAATCCCAGCACTTTGGGGGGTTTTGGTGGGTGGATTGCTTGAGCCCAGGAGTTAAAGACCAGCCTGGGCAACATGGCGAGACCTCGTTTCTATTAAAAAAAAAAAAGTCAGCATTCCCTTGGGTTAAGTATTTCCTCCTCCCTGTAGCCTCTGTTATAAATCCTCTCTTCCCCAGGGGCAACGAGAGGGCCTGGAGTGGAGTAGGCCAGGAAAGAGGCAAGAGGCGAGCATTCAGGGATTCCTTCACCCACCCATTTATTTCCTCAACAAGCATGGTCAGGGGGTCCCAGTCCCACCACTTACCCAGCTGTATGACCTTGGGCATGTCACTGCAACCCCTTTGAGCCTCATTTGTTTTACGGTGAGGACTAACTGGGTTAAATCCCTAGAAGGCACCTGGCATAGGCCCTGCCTGTAATCCCACCTACTTGGGAAGCTGAGGCACAAGAATCTCTTGAACCCAGGAGGTGGTGGTTGCAGTGAGCTGAGATCACGCCACTGCACTCCAGCCTGGGCAACAGAGTGAAACTCTGTCTCAAAAAATGAAATAGGGCTGGGCACGGTGGCTCACACCTATAATCCCAGCACTTTGGGAGGCCGAGGCGGGTGGATCACGAGGTCAAGAGATCGAGACCATCCTGGTCAACATGGTGAAACCCCATCTCTACTAAAAATACAAAACATTAGCTGGGCATGGTGGCGCGTGCCTGTAATCCCAGCTACTCAGGAGGCTGAGGCAGGAGAATTGCCTAAACCCAGGAGGCAGAGGTTGCGGTGAACCGAGATCGCACCATTGCACTCCAGCCTGGGTAACAAGAGCGAAACTCCATCTCAAAAAAAAAAAAAAAGAAAAGAAAAGAAAAAAAAAAACTCAGTTCAGGCCGGGTGTGGTGGCTCAAGCCTGTAATCCCAGTACTTTGGGAGTCAGAGGTGGGCAGATGACGAGATCAGAAGATCAAGACCATCCTAGTCAACATGGTGAAACCCCTTCTCTACTAAAAGAAATACAAAAAATCAGCCAGGTGTGATGGCGGGCACCTGTAGGCCCAGCTACTCGGGAGGCTGAGGCAAGGGAATCGCTTGAACCCAGGAGCCAGAAGTTGCAGTGAGCCAAGATGCCAAGATTGCACCATTGCACTTCAGCCTGGCGACAGAGGAAGATTCTGTCTTAAAACAAACAAACAACAACAACAAAAAAAAACAGGCCGGGCGCGGTGGCTCAAGCCTGTAATCCCAGCACTTTGGGAGGCCGAGGCGGGTGGATCACAAGGTCAAGAGATCGAGACCATCCTGGTCAACATGGTGAAACCCCGTCTCTACTAAAAATACAAAAAAGTAGCTGGGCATGGTGGCGCATGCCTGTAATCCAAGCTACTCGGGAGGCTGAGGCAGGAGAATTGCCTGAACCCAGGAGGCGGAGGTTGCGGTGAGCCGAGATTACGCCATTGCACTCCAGCCTGGGTAACAAGAGCGAAACTCCGTCTCAAAAAAAAAAAAAAAAAAAAAAAAAAAAAACAAAGAAAAACCAAACAAACAACAAAAACCTCAGTTCAAACGAGAATCTGCATTTTGAAGGCATGCGAATCGCGGAAGGCCTCCCTCAGACACTGTGAGCGTCTCAGGGTTCCCCGGTGTGCTCTCTCAAGCTGTCCTTAGGGCAATCCCCTTGTCTCAGGGGCTAATCTGGACTCCAGTTCAGACCAGAGCCTTACGTGCTGAGCAACAGCTTCTGGCCAAGCCGGGCCCTGCATCCCAGCCTCTCTTTCCCTGCCTCTTGGCTCCAGCTCACCCCTCTCCAACATCTTGTTCATTCAGGCACGGGATCTCCCCATCCCTGAGGCTAGGGGAGTGTCCAGGGAGGAGTGGGAGGGCCCACTTCAGAACTGGTACTGCTCGCCAGCCCTTGAGCCAGTGCCATGGCATTTCAGTCCAGGTCGTGTTTCAGGATGCTTCAGAATTTGGCAGCGGGAAGCAGCCCTCATCAGCCTCAGGAGGGTCAGAGAAGGGGCCCAAACACAGAGAAGCATTCAAGGTGGAGCCTTCAGACCTCAGGACCCAGGAGCCGAGGCCTCCAGCAAAACCAGGGTGAGCTGAGGGGATTCCCAGAGAACAGGTCCAGGACAGAACCCCTGGTAGTAGCCCACCTGCGGGGAAGAGAGAGAATGCAGAATCCCCAAGCCAGGGGAGCACCACCTGCCACAGCACCTTGTTTTTATCTTTTTTTTTTTTTTTTTTGAGACGGAGTCTCGCACTGCCGCCTGGCTGGAGTGCAATGTCACAATCTCAGCTCACTGCAACCTCTGCCTCCCAGATTCAAGTGATTCTCCTGCCTCAGTGTCTGGAGTAACTGGGATTATAGTCACTCGCCACCATACCTGGCTAATTTTGGTATTTTTTAGTTAAGACGGGGTTTCACTATGTTGGCCAGGCTGGTCTCGAACCCCTGACCTTGTGATCTGCCTGCCTCGGCCTCCCAAAGTGCTAGAATTACAGGTGTGAATCATCATGCCCCGCCATCCCTCTCTTTCATTGCATCGGTTGGACTAAGGAATTCATGTTAACATTTGTCTGAACTCCCCCAACTAGACCACAAACATCTTTTATGTGTCTTGTTCAAGGGGCATCATATACCTGGTTCAGCCTCAAAATCCTCATGCCTGGTACTATGCATGACACATAGTAAATGCTCAATAAATATTGATTGACTGAATTTATAGAATAATGAACAAAAAGAGGTTGGGAGACACAAGAACACATAAAGATGTACATCTAATTGTTTTCGAGATGAAATCTCACTCTGTCGCCCAGGCTGGAGTGTAGTGGAGAGGTCTCAGCCCACTGCAACCTCCGCCTCGTGGGTTCAAGAGATTTTCCTGCCTCAGCCTCCTGAGTAACTGCGATTACAGGTGCCTGCCACCACACCCAGCTAATTTTTGTAATTTTAGTAGAGATGGGAGTTACTATGTTGGCCAGGCTGAGTCTCGAACTCCTAACCTTGTGATCTGTCTGCCTTAGCCTCCCAAAGTGCCGGGATTAGAGGTGTGAGCCACTGCGCCCGGCCTGTGTAATTGTTTTCTAATTTTTGTATATATTTTTAAACTTTTCTACAGCAAGAATGTATTCAAAAAGAAAAAACCAAGAGCGAGCCAGAGAGAGGCAAAGTGAAAGGCTTAGATAAAAGAAATAGGAGAGGCTAGCTGGCTTGGTTGGATTAGACTATAACCAGAAACTCCTAAATAGTCTCCTCTGCAAGAAAAGGTAGGCGAGACAACTCAAGCCAGGTCTGAGCCCCACTAAGACAATGACTGCATATCATGATGGTGGAAGTAGAAACCGTTTAAACACACCTGCTTCATCAGTTCATCAACGTGTCAATTTGTTCAAACTGCCTTGAAACTGCCTGACCTTCACCCATTTCTGCAAATAGGCCATGAGAAAATAATTGGTGATTCCGGCAGTTTTATGCACAAAGACTTTCATGTCACGTTATCTTAAATACTAAAAAATTAGAAACCCCTTAAGTACCCACACAATAGGGAAATGGTTAATAATGCTTATCTATAAAATATGGAATTTTATATGTAAAAAACATGTAAAGCCTGTTTCTGAAGGATTTTTAGCATGGGATAAATGTATGCTATGATGTTCATTGAACAAAAGTAGATTAGGCTGGGCACAGTGGCTTACGCCTGTAACCCCAGCGCTTTAGGAGGCTGATGCAAGTGCATCACCTGAGGTCAGGAGTTCGAGACCAGCCTGACCACAATGGTGAAACCCTGTCTCTACTAAAAATACAAAAATTAGCCAGGCACAGTGGTGTGCGCCTGTAATCTCAGCTACTCGGGAGGCTGAGACAGGAGAATTGCTTGGACCTGGGAGGCGGAGGTTGCAGTAGCCGAGATTGTGCCACTGCACTCCAGACTAGGCAACAAACAGAGCGAGACTCCATCTTAAAAAAAAAAAGAAAAAGACGGTGGCTCAAGCCTGTAATCCCAGCACTTTGGGAGGCCAAGGCGGGTGGATCACGAGGTCGAGAGATCGAGACCATCCTGGTCAACATGGTGAAACCCCGTCTCTACTAAAAATACAAAAAATTAGCTGGGCTTGGTGGCACGTGCCTGTAATCCCAGCGACTCAGGAGGCTGAGGCAGGAGAATCGCTAGAACCCGGGAGGCGGACGTTGCCATGAGCCGAGATTGCGCCATTGCACTCCAACCTGTGCAACAAGAGCGAAATTCTGTCCCCCCCACCCCCCCAAAAAACGTAGGCATACACATAGGGAAAAGCCTGGAGGAACTACTCCAGAATATTAACGTGAGATCGGATAGACACAGCTTCAAATTTTGAACTGTTATCTTTAGTTTTATGACCTTAGGCTCAAATCTCTTGTCCTCTCTGCATCCCAGTTCTGATTTTTGTTTCATTTTTTTCAGGAAAATAGTTTAAAAAATACTATAAAACTTAAATTCTAGGCTGAACACAACGGCTCACACCTCTAATCCCAGCACTTTGAGATGCCGAGGTGGGAAGATTGCTTGAGCCCAGGTGTTCAAGACCAGCCTGGGCAATATAGTGAGACCGTGTCTCTACAAATAATTTTAAAAGTTTAAATTTTAACTCCCCCAAACATTGACATCAAAGTATCTAGGATTTGGGGAACGCCTGCGAGTCCTTCATTTGTCCCCTCAGGCATTAGGTATGCACCTATGGTATGTCTAGCCCTGTAATATAAAACAGGTCCCCGGGCTGGGAGCTGAAGTGTCACTTTGTCTATTTTCCCCAGGAAGAAGCAGTCCTCTTGCGTCCCCCAGAAAGGGTCCCAGGAGCTGCAAGCAGGCCAGGATCAGAGTGAGCTGGGGTTGGCACCTTCCTGGGTTCCTGAAGTACCTGAAGGGCTGCAGCAGCCGGGCTCTGGGAAAGAGATCGAGGGCCAGCAGGGGAGGCAACGGAACCCGGGAACCAGGGAGGATCAGCCTCCTGAGAGCTGCCAGGTAACCTCCTAGGAGATAGGAAGAAGGGTGTGAAATGACCTACCACAGGGGAGGTGGAGACCAGCCTGGCCAACATGGTAAAACCCCGTCTCTACTGAAAATACAAAAATTAGCTGGACATGGTGGGAGGCACCTGTAATCCCAGCTACGTGGGAGGCTGAGGCAGGACAATCACTTGAACCCAGGAGGTGGAGGTGCAGTAAGCTGAGATTGTGCCATTGCACTCCAGCCTGGGCAACAAGAGTGACACGCTTGTTCACCTGGGAACCAAGATGGAGCTCCCTATCCTTGATATCTTTGTCCTTGGCAGGGCGCTGGATATCAGTCCACCCCAGGTCACCAGGCAGACATGGTGCAACCAAGAGAGGCCTCTTGCCCCTTGGAGAGCCGTGGCCAGCCACTGAGAGACGAGTGCCCCAAGAAGGCAGGCGTCGCACACATCGGGCCACAGGAGGCTCTGCCAGAGCTCAGCCCAGGGGGGCATGAGGGTAGCTCTCAGGAAGCAATGTCCCCGGTGTCCATGGTGGCTCCAGAGGAAAAGACAGCCAACCCCTTCCTGCCATCCATGCCTGGACCTAAAAAAACAAAAGAAGGGTAAGTCACCATCCAGTGCCATCTCCTGCCCCACTCCCTGCCTCAACAAGAATGCACTTCTGCTGAGTGTCAGGTGAGGCGTATTCTAGTCCAGACTGCTCTGGACCTGGTAGAGGACGTTGGGGGAGCCATGCCCCCGGGTCTCAATTTCCCCATCTGTGTAACAGCTGGAATAGCAGAATTCTTTGTTCCATGATCCTGAATACGTGAGGATGTGGGGGAATAAGGAGCCCCTCGGAGATGAGAAGGTCAAGGGGACAAGGCTGGGGTGGAACTGAGTGTCCTGGGGGCTGAGGCGAGGGCAAGGGGCACACCTTCAGCTGAGCCCTTCCCTCACCTGGGGGTTTCTCCTCTTTTCAGGGTTGAGGCTGTGGAGACCCAGCCAGCACCTGGGCCTCTTCCTCCACCAGTAAGTAGGGCCATAGTGGGTATGGGGATGGGCTGTGTAGGGGGAGGGCAGGGGAATCAGAAGGAGGAAGAGGGCAGAGGCAGATATGGCAGGTCAAACCCATATTTGGAGTCAAACTGAGGAAGGTGTGTGTGCCTGTGTGTGCAAGTGCACGTGGATGTGCATACGTGTGTGTGCTGTCTGTGCATGTGTGTGTGCATGTGTGCATGCATGTGTGTGTATTCTGGGTGGGGATCAAGAATGCTCTTACACTCTACATTCTAGAGCCCTTGGGTTCATCCCAGGTGGGGTGGCTTGTTCCATGTCAGCATGCATTTCTTCCACCGATTTGCCGTCGGCCACAGCCACGCAATCTGAAGAGTCCCGGAACACCTGGAAGGCTTCCCTGACCCCTGCTAGCCACCCTTCCCTCCCCGAGCGCTGCCACTTCCTAGTTCTTTGACCTGACCAGGCAACCTACAAATACACAGTCACCAGCACGCCCTACCAGCACCTGCTCTGTCTCATCCTGTTGTGTTCATTGGGAAAACCCCACCCTGGCTAAACCCATGCCTTGTGCCCATGTTGAGCAGCTCAGCGTGGCTGGAGAACATCCTGTCTTGTAGATGGATTTCACTTTCTTTCTTTCTTTTTTTTTTTTGAGATGGAGTTTTCACTCTTGTCCATGCTGGAGTGCAGTGTGATCTCTGCTCACTGCAACCTCCACCTTCCAGGTTCAAGTGATTCTCCTCCCTCAGCCTCCGAAGTAGCTGGAATTACAGGCATGTGCCACCACGCCCAACTAATTTTTTGTATTTTTAGTAGAGACGGAGTTTCTCCATGTTGGTCAGGCTGGTCTCAAACTCCCGACCTCAGGTGATCCGCCCACCTCAGCCTCCCAAAGTGCTGGGATTACAGGCGTGAGCCACTGCATCTGGCCTTTTTTTTTTTTTTTTTTTTTGAGATGGAGTTTCGCTCTTATTACCCAGGCTGGAGTGCAATGGCGCGATCTCAGCTCACCGCAACCTCCGCCTCCTGGGTTCAAGCAATTCTCCTGCCTCAGCCTCCTGAGTAGCTGAGATTACAGGCACGTGGCACCATGCCCAGCTAATTTTTTGTATTTTTAGTAGAGACGGGGTTTCACCATGTTGACCAGGATGGTCTCGATCTCTTGACCTTGTGATCCACCTGCCTCAGCCTCCCAAAGTGCTGAGATTACAGGCTTGAGCCACCGCGCCCGGCTTTTTTTTTTTTTTTTTTTTAATTGAGACAGAGTCTCTCTCTGCTGCCCAGGCTGGAGTGCAGTGGTGCAGTCTTGGCTCACTGCAACTTCCACCTCTGAGGTTCAAGTGATTCTCCTGCCTCAGCCTCCCGAGTAGCTGATATTACAGGCGCGCACCACCTTGCCTGGCTAATTTTTGTATCTTTAGTAGAGACGGGGTTTCACCATGTTGTCCAGGTTGGTCTCAAACTCCTGACCTCAGGTGATCCGCCTGCCTCGGCCTCCCAAAGTGCTGGGATTATAGGCATGAGCCACCATGCCCGGACATAGACCTTGCCTTTCAATTCCATGTTCATATATCCAGTGGTTTACTTGAATTCCATCTGACTGGCTAATTCACTTCTCAAACGCGACCACCACGGTTTTCGTCAGCCCAGCAAATGACACTGCCTTTCACCCAAGGGGCTCATGCCACCCAGCTCAAAATCACCTCTGATTCCTCCTTTGCTCTCTACAATCCTTTCATATGTGTCAACCAGCCCTGCCTAGTGCTACCTACAAAATAAATCCTGAATCCATCCCTTCCCTCCACCCGCTCTTTCATTACCCTAGTCCAGGCGTTCCCAGACTTTTTACACAGGGGGCCAGTTCACTGTCCCCCAGACCGTTGGAGGGCCACCACATACTGTGCTCCTCTCACTGACCACCAATGAAAGAGGTGCCCCTTCCTGAAGTGCGGTGGGGGGCCGGATAAATGGCCTCAGGGGGCCGCATGCGACCCACAGGCCATAGTTTGGGGACGCCTGCCCTAGTCCAAGCCTCATCTTCTTAGAATAAGAGCCAAAGTCTTCAGCAAAAGCCATAAAGCTCTATGTCTAGCCACTCTGGTTTGACCTCCATCCCTGGAATATGCTGAGCGTAGTCTCACCTCAGGGCCTTTGACTGTGCCTGTGCCTGCACTTCTCCCATAGACAGTCTCATGGCTGACTCTCTTAAGTCATTCACTTTTCTTTTTGTGTGTGTGTGTGTGATGGAGTCTCGCTCTGAATCCCAGGCTGGCGTGCAGTGGCGAGATCTTGGCTCAGTGCAACCTCCACATTCCCAGTTCAAGCAATTCTCCTGCCTTAGCCTCCTGAGTAGCTGATACTACAGGTGCCCGCCACCACACCCAGCTAATTTTTCTATTTTTAGTAGAGATGATGTTTCACCATGTTGGTCAGGCTAGTCTCAAACTCCTGACCTTGTGATCTGCCCACCTCAGCCTCCCAAAGTGCTGGGATTACAGGCGTTAGCCACCACACCTGGCCCCACTTTTCAATTTTGACTTTAGTTTCTCCACAAGGCCTTCCCTGGGCAGCTGTTTTACTGTTTTCGTAGTACTTCTGTCCTCCGACATTATCTTTTTTTTTTTTTTTAGAGACAGGGTCTCGCTATGTTGCCCAGGCTGGAGTGTAGTGGCTATTCACAGGCGTGATCCCACTACTGATCAGCACAGGAGTTTTGACCTGCTCCATTTCTGACCTGGGCCAGTTCACCCCTCCTTAGGCAACCTGGTGGTCTCCCGCTCCCGGGAGGTCACCATATTGATGCCGAACTTAGTGCAGACACCTGATTGGCACAGCGCACTACAGCCCAGAACTCCTGGGCTCAAGTGATCCTCCTACCTCAGCCTCCGGAGTAGCTGGGACTACAGGCACGCACCACCGTGCCCGGCGACATTATCTTTAGGTTGTCAACCTATTCATCACCTAGAAAGCAAACTCCCTGAGGGCAGCCTCACTAGTTGACTTACTCCTCTACGCTCTGTGCAAGCAATGCCCAGCTGGTGGTAGGTACTCAACAGGAATGTGTTGAATAAATGAATGGATGGGAATAAGACGAGGTACCTCTCTGGACTGATGAGAAGTCAGATGAGAAATGAGAACTAGGCCGGGCGCGGTGGCTCACACCTGTAATCCCAGCACTTTGGAAGGCTGAGGTGAGCAGATCACCTGAGCTCAGGAGCTCAAGACCAACCTGGTCAACATGGTAAAACTCTATCTCTATTAAAAACACAAAAAATTAGCAGGGTGTGTTGGAGGGCACCTGTAGTCCTAGCTACTCAGAAGGCTGAAGCAGGAGAATCACTTGAACCCAAGAGGTGGAGGCTTCAGTGAGCCAAGATGGCACCATTGCACTCCAGCCTGGGCAGCAAGTAAAACTGTCTCAAAAAAAGGAAAGAGGCCGGGCTCGGTGGCTCAAGCCTGTAATCCCAGCACTTTGGGAGGCCGAGGCGGGTGGATCACGAGGTCGAGAGATCGAGACCAACCTGGTCAGCATGGTGAAACCCCGTCTCTACTAAAAATACAAAAAATTAGCTGGGCATGGTGGCGTGTGCCTGTAATCCCAGCTACTTAGGAGGCTGAGGCAGGAGAATTGCCTGAACCCAGGAGGCGGAGGTTGCGGTGAGCCGAGATCGCGCCATTGCACTCCAGCCTGGGTAACAAGAGCGAAACTCCGTCTCAAAAAAAAAAAAAGGAAAGACAAGAAAGGGCAGCTAGGCTGCAGACCCATCCCAAGGAAAGTTACAGAGATGGGAAAGAACGTGAAATGAAGAGTGATGACGGGGAGGGCCATCCTCTGGGCCTTGTGAGACAGAGTATTGGATATGATGAACTGAGTGGCTGAAAAGCTAGGCTGGCTGTCATATGAAGCCCCCGGTATTGAGACAGGCTTCTGTTGTGCTGGTTGCCAACTTGTGTGAGTCCAGCGAGGCAGAATACCCATGCATACATGTTCTATCACGTGGGTTTATTAGTAAAGATGGGCAGCAAAAGAGAATGGAAGCCTAGGATCCACTGTGCGCCTGGCCCCCAAGGCTCAGGAAAGCTGTCTGGGGCAGAGGGCATCTTGTCTGCGTGTGCCCCACTTGCTGAGACACCCCAGAAAGCAGCCCACCCTGGGTTTTATACTTCAAGGTGACATGATTTGCTGGGCTAAAGCCTTGAAGGCTGTCCTATTTCTGGGGCTCAGGGGAGTGGAACAGATCCTGGGGTGTTTCAGCCAGTCCCTCCCTATCTTAGGATATTGCATTCTCAGTATTTTTTTTTTTTTTTTTTTTTTTTTTTTTTTTGAGACAGAGTCTTGCTGTGTTACCCAGGCTGGAGTGCAGTGGTGTGATCTCAGCTTACTGCAACCTCCGCCTCCTGGGTTCAAGCAATTCTCCTGCCTCAGCCTCCTGGGTAGCTGGGATTACAGGCATGTGCCACCACGCCTAGCTAATTTTTTGTATTTTTAGTAGAAACAGGGTTTTACCATATTGGTCAGGCTGGTCTTGAACTCCTGACCTCTGATGATCCACCTGCCTCAGACTCCCAAAGTGCCGGGATTACAGGCATGAGCCACTGCACCCATTCCTCCCGTTACATTCTTGAACTGTATAATCTTCAGAATTACAAGTGAGAGAAGAGATAGAACTGGGTGTGTCAAAGGCCCACCTGCACCTAGAGACCCATCCTGCACAATCCTGGAGTGAAGCATTTGGCCTTAGCACTCCAATGTCCCTCTTAACACCCTGTACAAAGCTGGGCCTAAGAATAAAAGCTAGACCAGAGCATGCTGAGGCTGGGGACTAGGCACCCCTGTACTCACGTGATTGCATGTGTGGCACAGGTGGATGAAGGGATGGGTGTGACTGTCATAGGGAGCCCCTGCAGGCTCAGGGTTAGCAGGCAGTGACACCAGAGCTGTACAGAGGTCAACCCTGTAGCCCATGCAGGACACGTGGTGCCAGGTGGAAGGGGCTCAGAGAAGGCAGAAGGAGAAATCCAGGGGTGTGAGGGTTGGAGAAGCTGGAGGAGAGCACGTCAGGGCCTTGGCACCATCATTTACCCGCAGGCTGAGCACCTGTTGGGAGCAAAGCTTGGTGCTGGGTCCTGAAATAATAGGAGACATTCTGAGACAGATTCCTACCTACCTTGGGGCTCAGAGTCTGTATCTGCAACAGGAGCAGAGGCCCCAGATTTTGGAAGCCCTGTAGTTCCCAGAGGGCCATGAGACAGTGAGGCTGGATTCATGGCCACTGTCTTGGGCCCCCAATATCACAATGGAGCAGGAGCCCCAGAACTGCTTTTATTTATTTATTTATTTATTTATTTATTTATTTAGAGACAGAGTCACATTCCATCACCCAGGCTGGAGTGCACTGGCATGATCTCGGCTCACTGCAACCTCCGCCTCCTGGGCTCAAGTGATCTTCCCACCTCAGCCCCTTCAAGTAGCTGGTAGTACAGGCACGAGCCACAGCACCTGGCTAATTTTGCATTTTTTGTAGAGACAGGGTTCCACCAAGTTGCCCAGGCTGGTCTCAAACTCCTGAGCTCAAGCGATCCACCTGCCTCAGTGCCCCAAAGTGTTAGGATTACAGGTATGAGCAAACACACCTGGCCCAAAACGGCTTTTGATTGCTAGTTTGTTTTAGGCTTGACAGAAATTGAGCATTTGCCTTTAATTCAGGAAAACAACCAAAGGAGTCTTTGGCATGGAAAAATTGGGTCTCTTTTCTAGGTGTCAGAATACTCAACTATGATCATTTTCAACCTTACTGTGTGCTTAGCACTTACTGTGTCCAAGTGCTTTACTTACATTATCTTGCTTCTCAGACATCACTGAGAAAAGTGAAATAATCGGTGTTTAGCTAATATACTTATTGAAGATGACATATCAAACACAGTTGTGCAACTGGGGACTTCATGGTAAATGGCGCTTGTGACCTAGTTGGTGGAAAATCTAGACTATTAACACATAAACAAATAAATACAGTTAAGGTTGGGTGCGGCGGCTCATGCCTGTAACCCCAACACTTTGAGTGGCTGAGGCGGACAGATCACTCGAGGCCAGGATTTTAAGACCAGCCTAAGCAACATGGCGAAACCCCATCTCCACTAAAAATACAAAAAAAAATTAGCTGGGCTGTGGTGGTGCACACCTGTGATCCCACCTACTTGGGAGGCTGAGGCACAAGAATCACTTGAACCTGGGAGGTGGAGGTTGCAGTGAGTTGAGATCATGCCACTGCACTTCAGCCTGAGCGACAGAGCAAGGCTCTGTCTCAAAAAAAAAAAAAAAAAAAAACAGGCTGGCTCACACTATAATCCCAGCACTTTGGGAAGCCGAGTCAGGTGGACAACCTGAAGTCAGGAGTTCGAGACCAGCCTGGCCAACAGGGCAAAACACCGTCTCTACTAAAAATACAAAAATTAGCTGGGCATGGTGGCAAAAGCCTGTAGTCCCAGCTACTCGGGAGGCTGAGGCAGGAGAATAGCTTGAACCCAGGAGGCGGAGGTTGCAGTGAACTGAGATCATGCCACTGCACTCCAGCCTGGGTGACAGAGCAAGACTTAGTCAAAAAAAAAAAAAAAAAAAAAAAAATTAGCTCAGTGTGGTAGTGCACGGCTGTTGTCCCAGCTACTCTGGAGGCTGAGGTGGGAGGATCGCTCATTTGAGCCTGCAAGGTCAAGGCTACAGTGAGCTGAGATCACGCCACTGCACTCCAGCCGGAGTGACAGAGCAGAATGCTGTCTCAACAACAAAAAAAATACCCCACAGCTCACAGCGCTGGCAGGTGGCAAGTCAGGTGTTGGGGAGGAGGATGTGGGGCAGGAGCACAGTGGGGTGCATGTGAGATTTGGGGTACATCCTCCAAAGGCTCAGAGGGTAAGGGGCAGTCTGAGGATCTCTGGAGAGGGCATGGCAGGGAGGAGCTTTGTGGGACATTCTGGCCAGCTAATGTGGGATCCCCTCCCCTGTCCCCAGGAGGTGAGGGACATTGGAGAGAGGTGGGAGCCGGACCGCGCACAGCAGCAGCCTCAGGACCCCGTAGTGGCTGCAGGGACACAGAGCCTCGGAAACCTCCGGCAGGGCTTCATTAAGTGCTTGCTGGAGGTGGAGGAAGTAGAGGCCTCCCATCAGAGAGCCCTGAAGGCTCGGTCCCTGACAGCCCAGAAGACCCCCAGGACCATGACCCGTGTGCCCACCTCAGCCCCAAGCCTGCCTCAGACCCCTGCCTCAGCCCCTGCCAGTGGCTCATCATGGGCCCGGCTGCCAGCTCCTGGGCCAGTGCCTGCCCCTGTGGGAGCCCCGGCCTCCACCTCCGTGCCTTGCCCTGTCCTGCTGGGCCCCTCCCTGGACCCGAGCTGGAGGACGGAACTCTTGCATCAGAGCAGCGAGAGGACCCTGAGCTACGCCAAGGCACGGTAGGAGCCCCCTGCTGCTCACTCGTCGTGGGCTCCTGAAAGGCCCCAAGATCAGAGCCTTGTTCCGGATGCAGGTCCCTGTCCCTCCACCTGCCTGTTCCCCTGTGTGTCGCCCTCTCTCCAGTTCTCCTCCTGTGTCTCCTCTCCGCAGCTCCCATGTCGCCGCCTCCTCTCCCATTTCTGACCCTTTCCCAACTCCCCTGAAGGGTCTCCCTCTAGTCCCCTCTCTTCTGTCCCGCTCCTGCTCTGGGTCTCCTTTTTCTCGTCATTCTTGATCGCTCCTGGCTCCCCAAAGCCTCCCCAAGGACCTCATCCTGCAGGCTCCCCCGCGCCCTCCCCTAGCTACTGGCAGGGTGGGCAGCTGGGTATTGCCCTGGGCTGGGGTTCTGTCCTCTGCAGGCAGGAGCCGGGAGAGCACAGCCTCCAAAAGCTGTGTCAAAACTGGGAGGAGAGGCCTGAGGAGCACCTGACCCTGAGGCAAGAGGAAGGTGAGGGCCGGGAGGCCAGGGAGGTCCCAGCACAGGCGGGACCCTTGGTCCCTGGGGGTATGTAAGCACAGAACAGACTGGGGTGTCCACCACAGCCCTGTGGAGCAGATCCCGAGGGCAGGGGAGGAGTTTGGCCCCAGCTCACAAAGCTGCTGGGTGGGGGCAAGAACTCATGCTGGGGCATCTTTTTTCTTCTTTTGCTTTTTTTTTTTTTTCCATCTGTCGATAGGCTGGAGTGGAATGGCACAATCTCAGGTCACTGCAACCTCTGCCTCCCAGGTTCAAGCGATTCTCCTGCCTCAGCTTCCCAAGTAACTGGGATTACAGGCACCCGCCACCACACCCAGCTAATTTTTGTTATTTTTCGTAGAGATGGAGTTTCACCATGTTGGCCAGGATAGTCTCAATCTCTTGACCTCCCAAAGTGCTGGGATTACAGGTGTGAGCCACCAGACCCAGCCTCTTATTCTTTTTTTTTGAGACAGTCTCGCTCTGTTGCCCAGGCTGGAATGCAGTGGTGCGATCTCAGCTCACTGTAATCTCTGCCTCCAGGGTTCAAGCGATTCTCCTACCTCAGCCTCCTGAATAGTTGGAATTACAGGTGTGTGACACCACGCCTGGCTAATTTTTGTATTTTCAGTAGAGACAGGGCTTCACCATGTTGGCCAGGCTGGTCTCAAACTCCTGAACTCAAGTGATCCACCCACCTCCGCCTCCTACAGTGCTGGGATTATAGGCATGAGCCGCTGCGCCCGCCTCATGCTGGGTCTTCTGACTCAAAGTCCAGTGCTCTCCCAGTGTCAGAGCTGCCTCTCTGGGAGAATGACAGAAGCCCTGCAGAGTGCTTTAGGTTTTAGAATAATTTCTGCTTCCCTTAACCCAAGCCTGTTCTACTGGTCCTCTTCAGAGCAGCCTGGATGGGAGACAGGGCTTAGGGTCCCCTGTCCATGCTAGACAGTCCCTCCCCATTAAACAAGGCCACCAGCCTAGGCATGGCCTCATTCCCACCGCATCTCACCTTCACCAAAAAGTTAAAACATTCTGAATACCAGGCCGGGCGTGGTGGCTCAAGCCTGTAATCCCGGCACTTTGGGAGGCGGAGGCGGGTGGATTCACAAGGTCAGCAGTTCAAGACCAGCCTGGCCAAGATGGTGAAACCTTGTCTCTACTAAAAACTACAAAAAATTAGCTGGGTGCTATGGCAGGTGCCTGCAATCCCAGCTACTTGGGAGGCTGAGACAGGAGAATTGCCTGAACCTGGGCGGCAGAGGTTGCAGTGAGCCAAGATCACGCCACTGCACTCCAGCCAGGACAACAGAGTGAGACTCTGTATCAAGAAAAAAAAAAAAAAGTTCTGAACACCTTCCCTGCTCTCTGCTGTCCTCAGGACTGGGCCCTGGGACCCCACTCCCCTGTCACCCTGGCCCTAGAAGAATGGATGTACTTCTGCCTTCTAGCTCCCCTCCTCCCCAAAGTCTGCAGCCCTCTTGGCCAGAGCAGTCCCTTCCTCCGTCTTCCCTAGGTGCTCTCACTGGCTCCCTGTGACCCCATCCTTGATGTTCACCCTTTTTAGCATTAAAACTCTCTAGCGGCTGGGGACGGTGGCTCATGTCTGTAATCTCAAAATTTGGGAGGCCAAGGTGGGAGGATCACAAGGTCAGGAGTTAAGAGACCAGCCTGGCCAACATAGTGAAACCCGGTCTCTATGAAAAATACAAAAATTAGCCAGGTGTGGTGGCACACGCCTGTAGTCCGGGCTACTCAGGAGGCTGAGGCAGGAGAATCACTTGAACCCAGGAGGCAGAGGTTGCAGTGGGTCAAGATTGTGCCACTGCACTCCAGCCTGGGCGACAGAGTGAGACTCCCTCTGAAAATAAACAAACAAACAAACAATTAACTCCCTTGCCACCTTTGTAAGTGCAGCTCTCCCTGCCCACCTCCTTGAGCAGTTCATAAACAACATGCCACTTTGACTTAGAGACTCAGGGTCCCACATCTACCAATCCCTGTCTGGTAATTAAAGAGCCCACCATCCTGCTCCAGTGGCTCAAACCACCAAGCATTCTGAGAGATCATACCTGCTTTTGAGAGTTGCTCTGATTTTTCTTTTTCTTTTTCTTTTTTTTTTTTTTTGTGTGAGATGGAATTTCACTCTTGTTCACTCGCGGCCTCCTTGCGATCCACCGCGCCCGGCCTCTGATTTTTCTTTTTGTGGTGGGGTCACCACATGCCCCAACACCAATCCTCGCCCTACCTCTTCCCCACCACTCAGCGCTGTTTGTCAGAGACTTCCAGGCTAACAGAGGCTATTGTGTGCGCGCACTGAGTTCATATAATGCCTCCAAGAGGGTGCACTGTTGCGATGGCCATTGTACAGATCTGGAAATAGAGGCTCAGAAAAGGGCAGCAACTTGCCGGTGGCAGCCCTCCCAGTCAGTGGGAGCTGCCATAACAAATGACCGCAGACCAGGCGGCTGAAACAGCAGACACTTATTTTGTCACAGTTCTGGAGCGAAGTCCAAGATCAGGGTGCCAGCAGGTCAGTTTCTTCTGCGGCCTCCTTGCGTGGCTTGCAGACAGCTGTGTTCTCATTGTCCTCACGTGGTCTCGCCTCTGTGAATGCGCAACCCTGGTATCTTTTTGTGTGTCCAAATTTGCATTAATTTTTATTTATGTATTTATTTTTTGAGATGGAGTCTCAATCTGTTGCCCAGGCTAGAGTGCAGTGGCATGATCTCAGCTGACTGCAGCCTCCCCTTCCTGGGTTCAAGTGATTCTCCTGCCTCAGCCTTCTGAGTAGCTGGGATTACAGGTGTGCGCCACCACACCTGGGTAATTTTTGAATTTTTTGTAGAGAAGTTTCACCATGTTGGTCAGGCTGGTCTTGAACTCCTGACCTCGTGATCCTCCCACCGTGACCTCCCAAAGTGCTAGGATTACAGTGTGAGCCACTGCGCCTGGCCTATTTTTTAATTTATGTATTTATTTATTCTTTTGAGACAGGGTCTTGCTCTGTCACCCAGGCTGGAATGCAGTGGTGCAATCCTACCTCACTGCAGCCTCCACCTCCAGGGTTCAAGTAATCCTTCCACCTCAGCCTCCTGAGTGGCTGGGACTACAGGCATGTGCCACTGTGCCTGGCTAATTTCTAAAATTTTTTTACAGAGACAGAGTCTCTTGTGTTGCCCAGGCTGGTCTCGGACTCCCAGGCTCAAGTGATTCTACTGCCTCGGCTTCCGAAAGTGCTGGGATTACAGGTGCAAGCCATCACCTAGCCCAAATTTCTTTTTTGTATGAGGACATCACTTGAATTGGATTAGGGCCCACCCTAAAGGCCTCTTTTTAACCTAATCACCTATTTAAACGCCCTGTCTTCAAACACCGTCACATTTGGAAGTACTGGGGGTTGAGACTTCAACATAAAAGCCACCCAGCTTATTAAATGGCAGAGCCAGGCCGGGCACAGTGGCTCATGGCTGTAACTCCAGCCCTTTGGGAGGCCGAAGCAGGAGGATCGCTTGAGCCTAGGATTTCAACCCCAGCCGGAGCAACACAGGGAGACCCTATCTTTACTAAAAATAAAAATGAAAAACGCTGGTACTCAGGGGGCTGAGGGAGGAGAATCACGTGAACCTGGATGCAGAGGTTGCAGTGAGCCGAGATCCCGCCACTGCACTCCAGTCTGGGCGACAGAGCGAGACTCCTTCTCAATAAACAAATATATAAATAAAAATAATTTAAAAAAAAAAGCTGCGCATGGTGGTGCGCACCTGTAGTCCCAGCTACTGGGGAGGCTCAGACAGTAGGATCCCTTGAGCCTAGGAGATGGAGGATACAGTGAGCCATGATCACACCATTGCACTCCCACCAGAGCTATAGAGTAAGACCCTCTGTTGACTTCAACCCACATTTTGCCATGGGCTGAGAAACCAGACACCACACGATCTGACTAGTACATGGCCTTTGTATCAGTTAGTGCTGCTCTGGGACACTCTCAGACCCTTCCCATCCTCTGCTGTGGTCCACACAATGCAGCAATCCTAGCGACCACGTCCATCCAGATAGGTGACCAAGGTGCAGGGCACAGACTTAGTCAGAAAGAATGTCCAGTCACTAACCTCTGAGTCTCAGTTTCCCCATCGCTACAACAAGAATAAGCATTCTCAGCCTCCCAAGTAGCTGGGACAACAGACACGCACCACCAGGCCTGGCTAATTTTTGTATTTTTAGTAGAGACAGGGTTTTGCCATGTTGGCCAGGCTGGTCTTGAACTCCTGGCCTTAGGTGATCTGCCTGCCTTGGCCTCCCAAAGTGCTGGGATTTCAGGCATGAGCCACCATGCCCAGCTCCTTTATTTTCATTCTTGATGGTAGAGGAGGCTGGCAGGAGGGTGGTTGGGGTGATGAGATGAATGGGGAAAACAAGAAATGCCCCTACCCCACATAACCCTGCCCTCCCCACAGCCTTCCGCAGCTACTTTGAGATCTTCAATGGCCCTGGTGAAGTGGACGCACAGAGCCTGAAGAATATCCTGCTCCTAGTGGGCTTCTCTGTGACGCCGGCCCAGGTGGAGGACGCCCTGATGAGTGCTGACGTCAATGGTGAGTGGCAGAGGGCTCTGCTCTGCGTCCCAGGCAGGGCCTGCTTTACTGGCATGAGAGCTGTGCCGCTGCATGGGCGCCACACCGGGAGGGTCCCGTGCTTGGTGTAATGCTCTGCTGTCACAACCTAGAAATTCCTTTGTTGTTCTTGTTGTTTGAGACGGGGTCTCATTCTGCTGCTCAGGCTGAGTGCAATCCTGTGATCCTGGCTCACCACAACCTCCCAGGCTCAAGCAATCCTGCCACCTCAGCCTCTTGAGTAGCTGGAACTATAGGCATACTACCATGCCTGGCTAATTTTTTGGTTTTTGCAGAGATAGGGTCTCACTTTGTTGCCCAGGCTGGTCTCAAACTCCTGGATTCAAGGGAGCCACCCGCCTCAGCCTCTTGAAGTGCTGGGATTACAGGTGTGAGCTACTATGCCCAACATCGTAGAATTTTTTTTTTCCTGAGACAAAGTCTCACGCTGTCACCCAGGCTGGAGTGCAGATCTCGGCTCACTGCAACCTCCACATCCCAGGTTTAGTGGTTCTCCCGCTTCAGCCTCCTGAGTAGCTGGGATTACAGGCGCCTGCCACCACGCCTGACTAATTTTTGCAGTTTTAGTAGAGAAGGGGTTTCACCATCTTGGCCAGGCTGATCTTGAACTCCTGACCTCATGATCTACCCGCCTTAGCCTCCCAAAGTGCTGGGATTACAGGCGCGAACCACCGCAGCTGGCCACATTAGCTGCTAGTATTATTTTTTATCTAATAAATACTTACCAAATGTCTTCTGTGGGCCCGTCCCCGTGCAGGGCACAGAGGATAAGGAGATGTATAAGACGCATGAGATCCTGCCCTGGAAGGGCTCACAGAAACAGCTACTGCCATTAGGCGAGGGCTGACACAAAAGAAAGAGGCACCAGTGGAAGTGGGACTTAAAGTGGCTTAGAAGGGGGCCAGGCACCGTGGCTCTCACCTGTAATCCAGCACTTTGGGAGGCTGAGGTGGGTGGATCACCTGAAGTCGGGAGTTGGAGACCAGCCTGGCCAACATGGTGAAACCCCATCTCTACTAAAAATGCCAACATTCACTGGGCATGGTAATCCCGGCTACTCGGAAGGTGGAGTTGGAGGGTGGTAGAGGAATTCTAGGACAGAGAAGGAAGCAGCATGTACAAAGGCCCAGGGCGGGGAAGCAGGTTAGTGCTGGGGGAGACTGGCACAAAGTGAGGCTGGAGTCAGGCGACAGGCAGCTCCTGCAGGGCCTGGAAGGCCAAGGTGAGACTCTTACAGGTACCTGTTCCGTGCAGCGACTAGCATAAGGTATTATCAGTCATTGACATTTAGTGAGCATGTGTTATACGCACGGTGCTGTTCTTTTTTTTTTTTTGAGACAGTCTTGCTCTTTCGCCAGGCGCCAGGCTGGAGTGCAATGGCCCGATCTCGGCTCACTGCAACCTCCGCCTCCCGGCTTCCAGCAATTCTCCTGACTCAGCCTCCCGAGTAGCTGGGACTATAGACACCCGCCACCATGCCCCGCTAATTTTTGTATTTCAGTAGAGACGGGGTTTCACTATGTTGGCCAGGATGGTCTCAATCTCTTGACCTCACGATCCGCCCGCCTCAGCTTCCCAAAGAGCTGGGAGTACAGGCGTGAGCCACTGCGCCCGGCCATGCATGGTGGTGTTTTTTTTTTTTTTTTTTTTTGAGACAGAGTTTCGCTCGTTACCCAGGCTGGAGTGCAATGGCGCCATCTCGGCTCACCGCAACCTCCGCCTCCTGGGTTCAAGCAATTCTCCTTCCTCAGCCTCCTGAGTAGCTGGGATTACAGGCATGCGTCACCATGCCCAGCTAATTTTTTGTATTTTTAGTAGAGACGGGGTTTCACCATGTTGACCGGGATGATCTCGATCTCTTGGCCTCGTGATCCACCCACCTCGGCCTCCCAAAGTGCTGGGATTACAGGCGTGAGCCACCGCGCCCGGCCTCATGGTGCTGTTCTAAGTGCTTTGCCTCCTTTTATCTCAGAGGTTGACATTATGATTATTCTCTCCCTAATGATGAGAAAACTAAAGCTTAGTGTGGGTAAGAGACCTTGCCAAGGTCACACAGGTAGTAAGTGGTGGGCCTGGAGTATGAGCCAACACTGCTTCCTCTAGGATGGAAGTTCCAGGAACTTCTAATCCAGGAAGTTAGAGATTTGGTTTTATTTTGAGACAGCATCTCCCTCTGTTGCCCAGGCTGGACTGCAGTGGCACAACCACATCCACTGTAGCCTTGACCTCCCAGGCTCAGGAAATTCTTCCACCTGAGCCTCCCAAGTAGCTGAGGCTACAGGCACATGCCACTACACCGAGCTAATTTTTATATTTTTGGTAGAGATGAGGTCTCACTATGTTGCCCAGGCTGGTCTCGAACTCCTGGGCTCAAGCCATCCTCCCGCCTTGGACTCCCAAAGTGCTAAGATTACAGATATGAGCCACTGCATCCAGCCCTATTCAGAAGATTTTAACTTTCAGCTTCGCCTTTGCTATGTCTCCCATTTTCTGCATTGAGTATGCACTGCTTTGATAATCAGACCAGCGAGTAACTTGTAATAACCACACCTGGGCTGCAATGCATGGACCTGTTCTGGAAGGTCCCTGCCCACCCGGTTACTCCTCTGGCCTCCACAGGAGATGGTCATGTGGACTTCAAAGACTTCTTGGCTGTGATGACAGACACCAGGCGCTTCTTCTGCTCTGTGGGTGAGCAGGGATGTGCCCAGGGTAGTCAGAACTAGAGGAGGGGCTGGGAGGCTGGTTGTGGGGAGAGGAGAGGGCATTCAGGACTGCCCAGTGGTAACGGCAACCACTATCCCATGTCTCCAGAACAGAACACCCTGACGAACATGGCTCCCCACAACCCCCACACGCTGCTCTTTGAGATCCTGTCCCAGCTGGTAGAGATGCTGGCCTTACCAGAGGCAGCCTTGGAGGAGATCACAAAGTGAGTGGGGCTGGTTGTTGGGGGTGAGGGCTGTGGACACAGAGGTGGCATCTAGCATTTTGGCACTGAGAACTTTTGGTAGTTAGGACTTTTAGTCACAAGTGAAAGAGGCTGGAATCCAGGGCAGTGGTTCACGCATCTAATCCCAGCGCTTTGGGTGGCCAAGGCGGGTGGATCACCTGCAGTCAGGAATTCAAGATCAGACTGGCCAACATGGCGAAACCCCATCTCTACTAATACAAATAATTAGCCAGGCATGGTGGCACACACCTGTAATCCCAGCTACTCGGGAGGCTGAACCATGAGAATTGCTTGAACCCAGGAGGCAGAAGTTGCAGTGAGCTGAGATTGCACCACTGCACTCCAGCCTGGGTAACAGAGTGAGACTCTGTCTCACAAAAAGAAAAAAAGTAAGTGGAAGAAACTGGAATAAAACTGGCTGAAGCAGAAGAGGAATGTGTGGCCCAAATCACTGGTTGGGGCCTCAGGATTAGCAGGATTCCCGAGACCAAATGATACCAGTAAGGTTTTCTCTCTCCATCTATCCATGTCTGTGCACTGGCTTTGAGTTCAGCTAGGCTCTTCCTACAGAGAGAGGGATGGTAGCTGTCGGGCCCATACTCACACCCTCCTAGGGCAGCAAGAGGAATTCTTTCCTGCAGCACCCATAGAGCAATCCCAGGAAAGGAATTTGACGGATCCTACCTGGGTCAGAAGACACAAACGCCTCCACTCTCGAGGGCAGGTGGGTGGGTAGGCAGTGGTTCATCTAAGGAAGTGACAGCCACAGGTGAAACAACACGAACATGTCAGGGCTAGAGGCAAAGGGTGAAGGCGGACTGGTCCAGTTGATCTTCAAATGGCAGTTTCAGGCCCTCATGCCTCAGAGGAGGCCAAGCCTCCATTTCCAGTCTTTGAAATGCACATATTTTAGCCTGGCACGGTGGCACATGCCTGTAGTCCCAGCTACTCGGGAGGCTGAGGTGGGAGGATCGCTTGAGCCCAGGAATTCCGGGGTGTAGTGCACTACGCCGATTGGGTGTCCACACTAAGTTCAGTATCATTATGGTGACCTCCTGGGAGTGGGGGACCACCAGGTTGCCCAAGGAGGGGTAAACTGGCCCTCCTTAAACAGGTCAGAAATGGAGCAGGTCAAAACTCCTGTGCTGATCAGTAGTGGGATCACGCCTGTGAACAGCCACTGCACTCCAGCCTGGGCAACATAGCAAGACCCCGTCTCTAAAAAAAAAGAAAAAAAGAATATACATATTTTAATGATTGTTGCTCAATAAATGCTAGCTATCTTTTTTCTTTTTCTTTTTTTTAAGACAGGGCTTCACCATGTTGTTCAGGCTGGTCTTGAACTCCCGACCTCAGGTGATCCACCCGCCTTGGCCTCCAAAGTGCTTGAATTACAGGCATGAGCCACCATGCCCGGCCTAAATGCTAGCTTTCAACAGAGGTGGCTGGGTCTCCCTCTGTCACCCAGGCTGGAGTGTAGTGATAAAATCACGGCTCACTGCAACCTCGACCTCCTGGGTTCAATCAATCTTCCCACCTCCGCTTCCCTAGTAGCTGGGACTACGGGTGTGTGCCACTATGCCTGGCTTCTCAAAATGCTGGGACTACAGGCATGAGTCACCATGCCCAGCCAAAAGGCAGTTTGTTGCTGGGCAAGGCGGTGTGTGCCTGTAGTCTAGCTACTCAGGAGGCTAAAGGGGAAGGATTGCTTGAGCTCAGGAGTTTGAGGCTGTAGCGGGCTATGATGGTGCCACTCCACTCCAGCCTGGGTGACAGAGTAATAGCCCATCTCTAAAAAAAGAAAAGAAAAAATGTAGAGTTCTGTCTGTGCCTCTTACTACTTCTGTAGCTTTGGGCAAGTTGCTTTCTCTCAAGACTCAGTTTCTTCATCTGTAAAATGAGGTCACATTTCCTCAACTCTTCAATGCAAGTGACGGAAGGATACCAGGACAGAAGTGTATCTCACAGAATTGAGCCTGTAGGAACCAGGCCCTCAGCCTGCTGGAATCTCCTCTCAATGTATCACACAAAGCCTTGTCCCTGCCAATCAGTAAGTTGGACTCATTTTTTTCCTACCACAGACCAGGCCTTTTCCACATGGGCCAGGGAAAGGGGAATGATTGCAGCCTGTTCCAGCAAGATCTATTTAGCAACTGCAAAGACAAGAGATCTTTTTTTCCATCCGGGCACGGTGGCTTATGCCTATAATCCCAGCACTTTAGGAGGCCAAGGCAGGTGGATCACCTGAGGTCAGGAGTTCAAGACCAGCCTGGCCAACACGGCAAAACCTCATCTCTACTAACAATACAAAAATCAGCTGGGCATGGTGGTGGACACCTGTAATCCCAGCTATTCGGGAGACTGAGGCAGGAGAGTCGCTTGAACCAGGAAGGTGGAGGTTGCAGTGACCTGAGATTGCACCAGTGCACTCCAGCCTGGGCAACAAGTGCGAAACTCCATCTCAAAATAAAATAAAATAAAAATAACTAAAAGAGTATGATTGGAGGGACTCCATGTTTGGGTCCCCTTCCACAAACACTCCCTTCATGGAAGCCATCTTTCTCTCTCCTGGATTTTCCCTCTGGAGTCCCCTTCCACACTCTCTCCGTGGAAGCCTGTCTTCCCCTCCTAAACTCCACCTCTCTTTATTCCCATCCGCTCAGTGTGGAAGCTGCGTTCCTCTCCCAGATGCCGTCTTTCTGGATTCTCTCACTCAGTGTGGGAGTTAGCTGTTTCTTTCTCTCTCCTTCTCCAGTTTCTCTCTCTTTAAATAAATCAAATATATATATATATACACACATATATATATATACACACACACACACACACACACACATATACATATATATATAAATTTTAAAAATTTTAATAAGTATAATTGGATTTTTGTAACATAAAGGATAAGTGCTTCAGGGGATGCATAACCCTGAAGTCTCGCTCTGTTGCCTAGGCTGGAGTATCCATTGTATTTTTTTTTTTTTTTTTTTTGAGACAGAGTCTTGCTCTGTTGCCCAGGCTGGAGAGCAATGGCACAATCTCAGCTCACTGCAACCTCTGTCTCCTAGGTTCAAGTGATTCTCCTGCCTCAGCTTCTCAAGTAGCTGGGATTATAGGTGCCCACAACCATGCCCAGCTAATTCTTGTTATTTTTAGTAGAGACGGGGTTTCTCCCTGTTGTCCAGGATGGTCTCGAACTCCTGATCTCAGGTGATCCACCCGCCTCAGCCTTCCTTTTTTTTTTTTTTTTTTTTTTTGAGACGGAGTTTCGCTCTTGTTACCCAGGCTGGAGTGCAATGGCGCGATCTCGGCTCACCGCAACCTCCGCCTCCTGGGTTCAGGCAATTCTCCTGCCTCAGCCTCCTGAGTAGCTGGGATTACAGGCACGCGCCACCATGGCCGGCTAATTTTTTGTATTTTTAGTAGAGACGGGGTTTCACCATGTTGACCAAGATGGTCTCGATCTCTCGACCTCGTGATCCACCCGCCTCGGCCTCCCAAAGTGCTGGGATTACAGGCGTGAGCCACCGCGCCCGGCTGTTTTTTTTTTTTTTTTTTTTTTTTTTTTTGAGGCAGAGTTTCGCTCTTGTTACCCAGGCTGGAGTGCAATGGCGCGATCTCGGCTCACCACAACCTCCGCCTCCTGGGTTCAGGCAATTCTCCTGCCTCAGCCTCCTGAGTAGCTGGGATTACAGGCACGCGCCACCACGCCCAGCTAATTTTTTGTATTTTTAGTAGAGACGGGGTTTCATCATGTTGACCAGGATGGTCTTGATCTCTTGACCTCGTGATCCACCCGCCTCAGCCTCCCAAAGTGCTGGGATTACAGGCTTGAGCCACCGCGCCCGGCCATCAGCCTTCCTAAGTGCTGGGATTACAGGTGTGAGTCACTGTGCCCAGCCTCATTGTATTTTTAGTAGAGTCAGAGTTTCACCATGTTGGCTAGGCTGATCTTGAACTCCTGACCTCAGGTGATATACCTGCCTCGGCCTCCCAAAGTGCTGGGATTACTGGCATGAACCACCATGCCGGGCCTCTTTTAGTTATTTTAAATTGCACAATTACATTATTGATGACTACAGTCACCCTGTTGTGCTGTATTTTTGGTACCCACTCAGCATATTTTTTGTTTCGTTTTGCTTTTTTTTGAGACAGTGTCTCACTTTGTCGTCCAGGCTGGAATGCAGTGGCGTGATCTCGGCCCACTGCAATCACCACCTCCCAGGTTCAAGCGATTCTCTTGTCTCCAGGTGTGCACACCACACACGGCTAATTTTTGTTGGTCAGACTGGCCTCGAACTCCTGACCTTATGATCTGCCCGCCTTAGCTGCCCAAAGTGGTGGGATTACAGGCTTGGGTCACTGTGCCCAGCCTCTGCATGTTTTTTTTTGTTTTGTTTTGTGTTCGTTTGTTTTTTGAGACAGAATCTCACTCTGTTGCCCAGGCTGGAGTGCAATGGGGCAGTCTCGGCTCACTGCAACCTCTGCCTCCCGGGTTCAAGCAATTATCCTGCCTCAACCTCCCCAATAGCTGGGATTATAAGGGCCCGCCACCAGACCCAGCTGAAAAAAGAAAAAGGAAAATGCCAGAACTTTTTCCATGTAGTTGAACCAATTTAAACTCCCACCAACAATATGAGTGCTCCAGTTACTCCCCATCTTGTTCAGATTTGGTACTGTCAGTCTTATTTAGTCATTCTGGTGGATGTGAGGCTGTATTTTTTTTTTCACTTGCATTTGTTTGTATTCCTGAATACTATTTTTTTTTTTTTTTTTTTGAGACAGAATCTTGCTCTGTTGCCCAGGCTGGAGTGCAGTGGTGCAATCTCAGCTCACTGCGAGCTGTGACTCCCGGGTTCAAGCAATTCTCCTGCCTCAGCCTCTGGAGTAGCTGGGAGTACAAGAGTGCACCACCACACCCAGCTAATTTTTGTAATTTTAGTAGATATGGGGTTTCTTTCTTTTTTTTTTTTTTTTTCTGA